GGGTGAGGCCAATCTTGCTAAAAGAGGCTAGAAGCTTAAGATCAGACATAAGACAGTACCAAGGCACTTGCTGTTCTGAATAAATGCCAGTCTCTTGTCTTGAAGAAATGATCTGCCAGTGTAGAGGGTAACTTGCAGATGAGAAGGGCTTGAGTGACTCAAAAGCTGAAGAATCCCCCCCAAAACTTTCGACTCCATCCTGGCATTGCCAACTCGTCGCTTCTGCTTGTTCCATTTCCTTGAGTTTGCGTTGCAAAACTAAATCACTACATCATCACTCTTCCAGGCCCTCCCCCAGTGCAACTGTTTCTGTAGTGAGATATTTTCTGTTGATTAGGGACTAGAAGGAAGTGCTGTGGCCTGAGTAGTCCTCTTGAAGAGACAGGATTTGATACATGCATTTTGCAACATGCTTGCCTGACACAATAAGAAGTTTCACTTCCTGAGATGGACAGGATGCTGCCAGGTTTGGGGTCCAGGCTGGGATGAGACATGGCCGAACCATAGAAATTACTACGTCACGGGGCATTGCCTCATGGCTCCAAAATTTCCCTTGAGCAAAATGGATAGGAACTTATGCACCCTAGATGCTAAAAGATGGAGAAGTAGATTCAAGATTCCTGACCTCAATCTCAAATCCTTAGAAACAGATTAGATTAACTCAGAAATGATACCTCAGTCTTTTGCATACTGCCCTTTCTGTCACTGGCTTTCATCCTCCTTCACTCAACTTCTAACCACATCAACAGACTAAAGGCATCCTTGTGTTCTCTGTCAGGAAAGCCCAGACTGCTGTCAGGTCTCCATGTCTTGCTGACTCCAGCATAAAGACTCTGAGCAAGGTGATAGTTTCTTCAGTGAAGTTTGGGGACCACTGCTTAATTTACAAAGTGAAGTCTATGGAGGCAAAACAGAAAAGTCCCTCACACTCCTTAGACAGGACCTCTAAAGTGTCTGTAGAGCCAGACACCCAATTTTATGAGGGCTCAGAGTTGAGACCTGGCTGTTGATTACCAAACTCACAAGAAATTGATGCATTGGATGGGATGCAGTTTCAGATTCCCTGTGGAACATATAACTTACCAAATATAGCATTCTTGGGTCTACTTTCCTGATATCAAGATACTAGGAGCCAAATTAAGAATCAGAAGGCTGCTTGGTGAGCCAGTGTGCTGGGCAATCCTTGCCCCATGGTAGAGTCTATCTCCCTTCTACCTGGAAAATCAGGGACTCTGTCCCATGGACGGCACAGACAAGCACAGTACCTGACACATAGTAGGCACATGATCATTTAAGGGAAAATCTGTCAAATTCCTGCTTACCCACATAGGCAAGAAACTTTTGCTGCCTCAGTTTGCATGCCAGCTACTACACCAGACCCAGGTCTGAGAGTTCACAGCTTCCTAAGGGAACCAGGTAAGTCAGCAAGGTTTTAATTCAATGCAATAAGTGCTGTATTATAGATGTGCCAAAAGGGGTGATGAAGGCCCCATTCCTAGGCTCCATACACAGTTCATGATCTGGTCATTCAATTATTCTACAAATGTGAAGGCTACCCTGGGGCAGTTCCCTGGGTGGGCACTCTGCTGGTCTCTGAGTTCAATAAAAGCTGGTGTATTTTAATACACTAACAATGAAATATCTAAAAGAGAAATAAAGAAAAGAATCCAATTTATGTGGGAACAATAAACAATAAATAAATAGGAATAAAATAAATAAAACAATAAAAGAAATAGGAATAATTTAACGAAGAAGGTGAAAGATCTCTACACTGAAAACTATGTGATATTAATGAAAGAAATTAAAGAAAATACAAGTAAATGGAATCCCAAGTTCAGGGATTAGAATAATTAATACTATTAAAATGTCCATACTATTTAAATCCATCTATTAAAAAATCCATCTTTAGATTCAATTATTATTTATTATTACAATTATTTTATTTTTATTATTAAATTATTAAAATTCCAGTGGCATATTTTACAGAAATAGAAAAAAACAATCCTGGGGCACCTGGGAGGCTGTCATTGAGTATCCAACCCTTGATTTCAGCTCAGGTCATGATCTCAGGGGCTGTGAGATTGAGCCCCACATCAGGCTCTATGCTGGGTGTGGAGCCTGCTTGAGATTCTCTCTCTCCCTCTTCCTCTCCCTCTGCCCCTCCCCTACCTTCTCATGCTTTTTTTTTCTTTTTTTTTCTTTAGAAAGGAAGGAAGGAAGGAAGGAAGGAAGGAAGGAAGGAAGGAAGGAAGGAAGGATCCTAAAATTTGTATGGAACCAAAGACCTGAATAGCCAAAGTAATCTTGAGAAAGAAGAACAAAGGTGGAGGCATCACACTTCCTAATTTCAAACTAAACTACAAAGCCATAATGATCAAAACAGTATGGCAATGGCATAAAAACAGACATGTAGACCAAAGGAACAGAACTGAGAGTCCAGAAATAAGTCCATGCATATATGGCCAGCTAATATTTACTAAGGGAGTCAAGAATACTCAATAGAGAAAAGATAGTCTTTCTAATATATGATGTTGGGAAAACTGGATATTCACATGCAAAAGGATGAAATTGGAGACCCCTATCTTGTACCACTTACAAAAATTAGTTCAAACTATATTAAAGACTTAAAAGTAACACCTGAAACTGTAAAGCTTCTGCAAGAAAATATAGGGGAAAAGCTCCTTGACACTAGTCTTGCTGATGGTTTTTTGAATATGACACCAAAAGCACAAGCAAAAAAAAGCAAAAATAAACAATGGGGCTATGTTACACTGAGCAGCTTCTGCACAGAAAAAAAAAATCAACAAAACCAAAAGGTAACTTCAGAGTAGAAGTTATTTGCAAATCATATTATAGGTAAGGGGTTAATATCAAAAATATATAAAGAACTCCTATTACTCAATAGCAAAAATAAATAAACAATCCAATTTTAAAATGGGCAGAGGACCTCAAAAGACATTTTTCCAAAGAAGACATTAAAATGACCAAAGCTACATGAAAAGATGACTAACATCACTAATCATCAAGGAAATTTAATTGAAAGCATGAGAAATAATTGCCTCACACCTTTAGAATGGCTATCATCAAAAAGATAGGCAATAACAAGTTTTGCTGAGGCTACAGAGAAAGAGGAACCTTATGGGGATCCCCGGGTGGCTCAGCAGTTTAGCGCCTGCCTTCAGCCCAGGGCATGATCCTGGAGTCCCGGGATCAAGTCCCACATCAGGCTCCCTGCATGGAGCCTGCTTCTCCCTCTGCCTGTGTCTCTGCCTCTCTCTCCCTCTCTCTGTGTATCTCATGAATAAATAAATCATATCTTTAAAAAAAAGAAAAGAAAAAGGGACCTTAGAACATTGTTGGTGGGAATGTAAATTGATGCAGCTTTTATGGAAAATAAACAATATAGAGGTTACTCCAAAAATTAAAGCTAGAACTACCATATGATACAGAATTCCCCCTTCTAAGCACATATCCAAAGGAAATGAAATCACTGTCTCAGGCATCTGCACTCTCACATTCATTGCAGCTTTATTCACAACAGCCAAGACACAGAAATAACCTCAATGTCAATCAACAGCTGAATGAGTTAAAAATATGATATATAAAGGAATATTTCAGTCACAAAAAAAAAGAAGAAGAAGGAAATCCTGCTACTTGTGACCATATGGATGGACCTTGGGGGCATTACACTAAGTGAAATAAGTCAGACAGAAAAGACAATTGCTTTATTATTTCACCTATATGTGGAATCTTAAAACAAGCAAACAAAAAGAAAAAAGGCAAACTCATAGTAATAGAGAAAAGAATGGGAATAGTTTGATCAAACTGCAAGTTATAAGATGAATAAGTTCTAGGAATCTATTATACAACATGGTGACTGTTGTTAACTATACCATATCATATACTTGAAAGTGGCTAAGGGGTAGATCTTAAATGCTCTTGCCATAAAAAGATAAATATGTACAATTACGTGAGCTGATGAGTATGCTGATTAACCTTATTGTGGTCATCTTTTTACAATGTGTATGTATAGCAAACCATTGTGTTGTACACCTTAAACAATCTTTTTAAATTATATCTCAATAGACCTGGAAAAAACAGTCTAATAACTCTTGGAAATATTAAGAGATATAGTCACAGCTGGATATTCTTTAAAAAACAATATTCTATTTTTCAAAGTTAGGAGAAAAATGATTTTAGGCAGAAAACATCTTGTCTGCAATTTAAAAAGTGACTGTGATCCTGAAACCTTGACTTACTCACAATCTTTTCAAATACATTCTCAATCCAGATTAATTCACTGTATTGATACAGATTGCATGTGTAACTGGCTAGGGTCCCAGCACCTGGTCTGAAAGAGTTGAATGAGCTTATCTGCAAGGTTCCCCCCATCCCATTAGGAGCCTGAACCCCTGCACAACTATATTTTTTCTGTCCCATCCTAGGAGGTCAACTATCTTTTCAGGGGCTCCTGTAATTGACCTCAAGCTCCCAAAGTAGAGAACAGCAGACTGTTCAGACTGGAATGGTTACCATCACTTCTTTATACCCCTTAATCCATCTCCAGGTTCTCTGAGAAGGCTCCTAAATGTAAGTGCAATGCATGAGTGAGGGAGGCTGTTTGTATAGGTGTCTGTGTGTCTTCCACTTTGTCCCAGAGACCCTAAATTAAAATATTATTCAAACCTAGGAAAATCCTGTCTTTTAATATTAACATCATTTGTGTAACAGTTGTCAAAAAAACAATATAGATTTGCATAATGACACATTTGAGAAAATGTGTCATCATTTGCTACCACTTGCCCTTCATGCACTAGACAATTATTTCAGTTTAATCTACCCTAGAAGTTTCCACTGGTCCTCTTCTTTTTTTTAAAACTTGGTTGTGAAATTGTTAACCAACCAGGAAATTTCTCAGCTATCTACTTCTGCTTTTAAAGAGTATAAAAGTTAGGTAGAAATTGGCAAACAGCATAGCTCTTCGAGGTACAGTGGTCCACTCCAGGATTCTGTTCTCTCCAGCCAGTCTTCACTATTCAGGTACAACTTGAACTAACTCTTCTTTATGACTGGGTTCCAGTCAAGTCTCTCTGTCTCTGTCTGTCTCTTTCTCCCTCTCTCCCTTCCTCTCTGCCTGATATTATGGCTATGATTTGTGAAAATTTCTGGGAACGAGTATTGCTTATGTAGCAGCTTGACAACTGAGAGATCAGTGTCAAAGCCGCTGCTCCAGATCTAACAAATATATTCTTGGTTTGGGTTTGGTTTAGCAAATGTTTCCTCTGGACCCAAAGGAAGGTTCTATCATGCATTCACTCATTCATTTAAAGATTGTTTCTTTACATGCCTGCCATGTACCAGGTGCTAAGGGAAACTCACATATGAAGGCAGCCCTGGGGAAGACTGGCCTGGCAGGAATCATTTATTTTCTCCTCTTTACACAGGTTTCTAAAGCAGCCATGGCAGCAGTACCCGAACTCACCAGTGAAATGATGGCTTACTCCAGGTCAGTGAGGTGATTGAGATTAGCCATATGAGTAGAGCTCCTCTTTCAAGAGTGGGGTGTTATCTGTGCTTGGAGACCAGATATGTCCTCCAAACTTCCTCTTCCAGTGGCAAGCAGGGCTCTAGGTTAACATGGTTTAAAGACTGATTTCCCACTGCAAGTCTAGCCTTTCTTTGGACCCATAGGCCATCCACATGTTGTTGCTGCAAGGGTTCCCTGCAAATGGCAAATAGGAAAAAGAGATTCCAAGTGAACAATACAGGCAACCTTTTGGCAAAGTTTGGCTTGAGAGAGAAGAAAAGCTCAGATGTTAAGTGGATGGAGGATAGGTCTCAGGATCCAACAGGTAGTATCTAGGATATCTGCCCTGCCTACTATGCCATTCCATGCATATCACCATAAAACTTGCCAGCAGCTTTTAGCAACTTTAAGGGACATACTCTTTGTAGTTTCCTATTAACAGTGAAGACGGTTTGGAGGGAAGGAAAAAGAACTTGTCTGGGAGACATACTTGAACAATCTCTCTGGTTTTATTACAGTAACAATGAGAATGACCTATTCTTTGAAGCTGATGGCCCTGGAAAGGTGAAGGTGAGACCATGGGCTTAGCTCACAACACCTGGAGGTACTCTGATATGGGAGAGGCTCCAGGAAAAGGGTTCTGGGCTACCTTGTTTCCAGGGTATTTTGCAATGAAAGGACTTTCATCTCTTGCAGTAAGACAGATGCAGATGGCACTGCATGCTGACTTGGTCACAACACCACTCCCACAATCACTTACTATGGCTTGGTGATGATGGCCATGCTTGCGCAGGGTGGAGGGATGGCAGTGATGATAAAGCTTGCTGGTTTTTTGTTAGGAAAGCAGCCAAGGCTCCAATGCAAATTTGATTCTCCTTTTAGGAGAAGATTCAGCCTACATAAATCACTTAAGTCCTTGGGAATTAATGTATATCTGCCCCCTTTAAAAGTAGAATAGTTTTTTGCTCCCAGATTTCTGGGCAGGAACTTCTCTCATACTCAGCTTTCTTCTGTGCTGTTAGAGGCCTCTTTAACTATCCGTTGAGTGTCCAAACCATTATCATGGTACCAGGGCAACCTCACTTAAGCCTTCACATAGTTATGCCAGTTCTATGAATAATGGGAAGTTTCTCTGAATAATGGGAAAGCAGAAACATATTTCACAAATAGTAACCACTTTTAAAGTATTTGTAGAATGCTTATAAGACAGTGTTTAGGAAAAAAGAAAGAACTTGTATAGAATAATTAAAAACTTGTTGAATGAGCATAGATGAATATAATATGTTATGATCATCATTGCCATGAAAAATTAAATACAAAGTGTTAAAGCAATGGGATACAAAAAGACATAGAGGTTAAGAAGGTGTAAATTTATGGTTAGGTGGAACAGTGTATAAAAAAGATAAATGAGGTATTATTCCAAAAGAACACCATATAGGCCATCAGAAAACCTATAGTTCTGGTTTTGAATCTGCCTCTAACTTGCCACATGCCCTCTGATAAATCACTTAACCTCTCTTGGCTTCAGAGAGAAGAGAGTTTAACATTAGAAGCTCAGTTATTTCCAAGGCCCCTTCAGCCTCTCTGATGTAAAAAACAGGAGTTCTCTGGCCTGACCACCTTAACAAACTCTTCCTTGGTCTCTCCACAGTGCTGCTGCCAAGACCTGAACCACAGTTCTCTGGTAGATGAGGGCATCCAGTTGCAAGTCTCCCACCAGCTCTGTAACAAGAGTCTGAGGCATTTCGTGTCAGTCATTGTAGCTTTGGAGAAACTGAAGAAGCCCTGCCCACAGGTCCTCCAGGAGGATGACCTGAAGAGCATCTTTTGCTACATCTTTGAAGAAGGTATTTACTGTGTATGCTTGGATGTTCTCCAACAATTTCTGCTGCCTTCTATCATCTGGCCTGCTCTTCTGATTTTCTTCCTCAACATGTGTGCTCCACATTTCAGAACCTATCATCTGCAAAACAGATGCGGATAATTTTATGAGTGATGCAGCCCTGCAATCGGTGGACTGCAAGTTACAGGACATAAACCACAAATACCTGGTGCTGTCTAACTCATATGAGCTTCGGGCTCTCCACCTCAATGGGGAAAATGTGAACAAACAAGGTAACGGGGGACATCTTGACTCCTTTCTTGGCTCCCTGGCTGCTTGCTAATTCTCCACATTTTTAACAAAGTAGAACAATAAGGCGAATTATGGACATAACTAAAAAAAAATAAAATAATGAATATATAAACTTTTCATTTGGGTCCCAGCAATGACACCAGATTGACCAGAACACCCTTAGTGTGTTCATTTCTCAGCAAGAGATGGGATTCTGAGAAATTAGAATGCTCAAGCACATCCAGGACCATTGTCTAGCCAAGTCTTTGAATGATAGTGCAATGTCAATCCTTCCATTAGAAAGGGGTCATTTGATGGACATGACCTAACTGCCTGTGGGTCCCTTTTTCCTGCTGTTGAGGTTAAAACTAGAATGGTAAAGAGATAATGTGTCCATCCTCATTCCCAACGCTGTCCCCTTAACCCTAACATCCTTTCCGCCCAATACCAGATGGTTCCTTGTAGAGATATTTTACTGACAAGTAGGAGCTTATCTCTCTATTTTAACTAGCAAATGTCTCAAGTCTAGAGAGCCCATTAGTTGTGGAAATCTGCCTGGCACCTTGCCACTGTGGCTGAAACCTGCATGCAGGAGTGCAGCCAAGGGAGTAGATGAAGGGAGCAGCCTGTTCTCTTCCAAGGCTGCTGACCTTGGAGAGAGGCATCTCAGTCAGGCCAGGACAAAACTGTTTCTTTAGAACTGGGTTATGAGCATGACCTCAAGGCCCCCAGATGAGATGGCTGTGACTAAGGAAGATAAAATTTGAGTCTCTTTGGAGCCTTTTTGCCCAGCTAAGCCTCCCCTCTCCCAAGTTCTTCCCATTTGTTGTTCTATGTTCCTGAAACAGAATTATCCCTGATATCTTTCAGGAACCCTGATCTACCTCTTTTCTTGCCTTTCACATTGATCAAATTGTTTTGCTCATGTGGTTGGGCACACCACTGACCAGTCATGAAATGGCTTCCTTCCTTCAGTTTTTAAAACTTAGACTCCCTAATTCTTCATTGCCATATGATGAGGCTTTAAGAAACCCCCAGACCTTCTTTGGAGAAAAGAATCAACCAACTAGCCCTGCTATTGTCTATAAGAAGCCAAGTTATCCTATCTGTTAGGCCATGGGGACCTCAGTGTGGGCTCTCACAGAAGATGTTAATTGTATGAGTCCTGGGTTTGTGTGTTCCTGACCACAAGGCCCCCTTCTTTTCCCTAGTGGTGTTCCACATGAGCTTTGTGCACGGGGATGAAAGTAATAACAAGATACCTGTGGTCTTGGGCATCAAACAAAAGAATCTGTACCTGTCCTGTGTGATGAAGGATGGGAAGCCCACCCTACAGCTAGAGGTGAGTGAGTACGAGTGGCTAAAGGCTTCCCAGGCTCCTCTCAAACAACCTTAGCCCTCACTTACTTCCAAGACTACCACCTTTCCCCCGCCAGGAAATCTGGGAGATCTACTTGATAATTCTGCATAAATGTAAACAAATTTAATGTAATTGTTAAATGTATGCAACTTCCACCTCCACCACAGAAAATTAAGTCATTTTTCTGATATTATGTCCTGGCATTGTTACCACCTAACAGACTATACAATGTTAGGGTTAGAAGGATTATAACATTGTTGGGGTTACTCCATTTGATAAATGACACCTTGGGAAATTAATCAATTCAAGGGAGCTATCACTTGTCATCTCCTCCACTCCCAAAATCACCTTCCCCTCTCCCGACAACCAGCTGTCCCAGCAAAAGTTTCACGTCTAGTCATTGTGAAGTCATTCTAGCCAGGGACATATGGAAAAATACAGCAAAAGTCGCTGGAAAGCTAGCTACTCTTAGAAATTTTAATCTAATTCTCACTTTTTAATAAAATTCCCACCTATATTTTGCTCCCTATCATTTGATACTAAGTTTCAGAAAAGAGTAAGAGCTCTTTCAATCACTACACAGAAAATTGGGGCCACAAAGATAAATCGGGAGTCTGGATCCTGGTCCTATGATTCCTCAGTTTCCTCTCTAGCTGAACCAGCAAATAACCTCACCAGAGTGTCTTTGTCCCTTCCCTGATAAAAATTCTTATTTCTGTTTTGTTGCAGACGGTAGACCCCAAAGTCTACCCAAAGAGGAAGATGGAAAAGCGATTTGTCTTCAACAAGATAGAAATCAAGAACACAGTGGAATTTGAGTCTTCTCAGTACCCTAACTGGTACATCAGCACCTCTCAAGTCGAAGGAATGCCTGTCTTCCTAGGAAATACCAAAGGTGGCCAGGATATAACTGACTTCATCATGGAATTCTCTTCCTAGAGACCTGTACCCAGAGAGTCCACAAGTGCTGGGTAACCCTTAGGGCTGATGGAAAGGGAGTAGAAGGGTTTTAAATGTGGCCTCAGGCTGAATTTCACTATTATCTAATCAGTGCACAGCTGCCTTCCCTAAATCACTGCTAAGATTTCTTGTCCACCAGCCAAGCGGAATAGCCCCCTTCCCAGGGCCAATCCCTCTGCTGAGTCAGGTCTCTATCTCTCCTACTCATCTGAAGCTAGCCTGGCAGAAGTCATTATACATCAGGTTCCAAGAAACCCTCCTTTGTGCCCAGCTTCTGATGAACAACCATTGAACTATTTATTTATTTATTTATTTATTGGTGGGTTAATCTATTTAGTTTAAGTCAAGAGGGGCAAGAAGCATCAGTGTCCATGAAAAAGCCCACTTGTCATAGCTCTGAAGTGAATTTAATTTCCACTGGTGTGCCATCTTTATATCAAGTCCTTTTGCCAAGGCTGAAAAAATGTATAAGCTCAGATTGTTTAAATAGGAATATTTATGAATGATTATGTATGATCACACCGCTTCCATGATTCTGAAATAAATTTCACTGAAAAAATTTTTTTTCTGTGTGGTAATTCATCGCCTTTTCTTGAATCTCACACAAAAGAGTCAAGATAAATGGGGCCATGAGATGTCTTCTTGAGAAACAAGAAGTCCACTCCTCATCACTGAGCATGGCAAAATACCTAGGAACATCACTAACCAGCAAAGACAAGCCTCCTTATCCCTCCCCTTCATTTCTGTTTCTCAACAAAAGGATATTTGGTATACAAGTTTCATTTGAAAAATCAGATCAGCTTAAGTAAAGAAGGAAATGTTGGTGGTAATCACCACCAACAATTTCTTTACTCATTTATTCAACAAACATGTATTAAGTAAATATTATGTACTAGGAGCTAGAAGGTACAGAAACAAGACAGGTAAGGCATTCCTAGTTAGATAGTAAAGGCAGATAGATACAAGCAAAAATAAGGCAATGTGGCAAATAGAGGTAAGATAAAGTATGAAAGGAATAGCCAGGAGGAATGACAACATCTATTGTGAAGGACAGAGGGTCAAGGAGAACAACATATGAGTCAGGCCTAAAAGAATGAGCAGGAGTTCCTCATATAGATAAGAAGGGAAACGTTATTCTTAGTAGTGGGACCAGTATGATCAAAAGCATGGAGTAAAGAATGGACAATAAATGATGCAAGGAGTTAACTTTCAGAATTGCAGAAGTCACCAGAAGCAAAGTAAAAACACAGAAACAACCCAAGGAAAAAATATTTGTAACTGTATCTCAGATAAAGGGATAATTTGTCTAGGTTCCCTCAAAACATTAGGAAAAACATGAACATAAATCCAACAAAACAACAGGCATAAATCCAACAATATATTAACAGGCAGTCCACAGAAAAGGAAATACTATTAGGTCTTGGTCAGAGTAAAACATGCTCAATACTACTTATGATAAGAAAATTGAATTAACAGTACTTTGAAAAAGCAGTATTCTCCTATCACATTACCAAAAATCGAAAGTTTAATGACACACTCTGTTGGGAAGACTAGGGAAATTCTTAAACATTACAGGTGGGAGCAGAAATTGGTACAATTCCTATAGAGGAAAATTTGATAATAACTACGAAAAAATGTTTAAAGATTTTATTTATTTATTTGATAGAGAGAGAGAGAGGAAGAGTAGGGGGCGTAGGGGGAGGCAAACAGAGGGAGAGGGAGAAGCAGACTCCCCACTGAGCAAGGAGCCTGAGGTGAGGCTCAATCCCAGGATCCTGGGATCATGACCTGAGTCTGAGGCAAATGCCTAACCAACTGAGCCACCCAGGTCCCCCAATAACTATGAAAGTTACAAATGAACATTCCCTTTGGCCCAGCAATTTCACTTCTGGGGATTTATCCTACGGGTGGCTATATACCTATGTGAAATGACACGTGATCAAAATTATTCACGGCCCATGACTCGTAAAAGCAAAAGATTGGAAAAAACAGAAATGTCTATCAATGGGGGCTTGGCTAAATGATTTATGGGACATCTATACAATGGAATGCCAGGCAGCTATAAAAAAGATCAGAGGAGCACCTGGATGTCTCAGTCAGTTAAATGTCTAATTCGATTTCAGCTCAGGTCAAGATCTCAGGGTTGTGAGATTGAGTCCCTCATCGGGCATGGTGCCTGCTTAAGATATTCTGTGTGTGTGTGTGTGTGTGTGTGTGTGTGTGTGTGTGTCTCCTCCCCCCTTCTACCCCCCCACCTCTCTCCCTCTCTCTCTCAAAAAAAAAAAATCAGAAAGCACTCCACACCAATATGGAAGCCTGTCTAAGATATGCTGGTAACCAAAAAAAAAAAAAAAAAAGGTAAGAGGCAGACTGTTTATAGTGCACATTTATGTAACAAAGAGCAGGTGTGTGGGGAATAGGCAATACTTTCCAATGTGTTTGCATTTGATTTCAAAAATTCTGAAAGATACATAAGAAATTTAAAAAGTAACTGTGAGGGGCCAGGGAGAATAAGATACAGGGAACAAAGGTGGGAGCAAGATATTTCTCTAGATACTTTTTATATAGTTTGATTTTTTAATCATGTGAATATATTACCTACTTAGAAATAAAATGGTAAAAATTTATAAAAGGTATTTGTCCAAGAAAAAATACACACACACACACACACACACGTATGTGTGTGTGTGTGTGTATATGTGTGTGTGTGTGTGTGTATACACACAATTTATATATATATATATATATATATATATATATATATATAAATTGCTGGGCCAAAAGGGATGTTCATTTGTAATTTTCATAGTTATTATCAAGTCATACATATATATGATTTAATTAAAATGTCCCAGTTGTCAGCAGCTCACTCCCAGTACCTTTTCCTCCTCCTCCTCCCCTTCCCCCTTCACAGCTTTCCAAGCTAGGGCTCAGGAGCTGGATAGAGGCCCTACAACTTGGCAAAGCCCCCTCCCAGCTCTGTCTGCTTCATAACTACAGTGCAAAGGATGAGAAGTTACTCAAATGGCACTCATTCCCCAGTACATGATGATATTGCTGGTGCAGGAAAGAAAACAGAGGTATTCCTGGGAGTCCCAGCAATGATACCGTCCCCTTTCCTTGGTTGACTGATACAATCCCACCCATCTCTCACAGGTCCAAAAGGGAGAATATGAGAAAGAGTGACAAACTGTGAAGTCATCTAATCTTGTGAGGAAGCCAGATTGCGAATCATCCATGTGAGTGTAAACTGGTACAGCCATTTTAGAGAAAAAATTGGCAGTGTCTAATTTATTTTTAACATGACTTATGACTCAGTAATTCCACTATTTGGTGTCTTCCCTAAAGAAACAATTTCAAGGATGTCTATTTTAGAATTGTTTATAAAAAGTTCAACAAAGTAAAATGGAAACAACCTAAATGTCTACAGGTAAGGAAAAGGTTAAATAAACCATGGCAAGTTAAAAATAAAAATAAGTAGTACTGAAATGGAAAAAGATTCAGACAAGTCATTGAGAGAAAAGGTCAAATTGCAAAACTTTAAGTACAGGATGATACTATTCACATAAAAGAAAAAAGTACAGCACATCCATGTGCTTCTAACAATATGTAAGACAGAGAGCTTTGGAAGGGTATTGGCTAAACCAAAAATAGTGGTTATGTGGGATAGGGTGGGGAGGAGAGGGGGTCATCAAGAGGAACTTGTTTTATTTCTATTTAAATTTTTTACAAGAAGAATGTATTCATGAATTACTTATATAATGTTCTTTAAAAAAATCCTTCTGCATTAAAATGTTCAAAAGGCCTGAGTTTCAATTCCTGGAACTGAGCCAAAGACTAAAATTGACCCTCTAAAGGCTATCCTATTCCTGGTTTGGAGCCAAGTTTTTTCCCTGGTAACAGCTCTTCCTTTCTCTGCACTACGTGTTCTTATCCTGGAAAAGAGAAATAGCCTTTTCTAAATGGAAAAGATCAGATGATATGAGTGCAGAGAATCAGAACCCACCCCCAACACTACCAACCACATGAAATATAACTGGAAGTTTTTACCTGAGCAGAAAAGTTAATTTGTCTTCACCTCCAGTAGGTAATACACCACACCACCACAGCTCCTACCAGTCTTCAAGGATATCCCACGTACCTAGAGAGTAGCAGGCAAGTGCTTATAAATTTGAGTCCATAAGTTTAGGGTGTGGCTTATCCTATATGCTTGGGCTGGAGTAAGCCAGTATCTGGTGGGGCGAAGGTAAATGATGCAATGGTATGTGGGAGCACATCTAGTCTGAAAGGTAGGTTGGAGGTGGATGGCCGCTACAATGTCCTGGTCAGTGACGGAAGCATAAGTCAGCATGTCTTCTGTACTGATCTCCTCCCTGCCCCATTCCTCATCCCCCTATACAGCCTTGCTGAATTGTCCACAAACATCTGATTCAACTGGAAGCCAGAGTGAGAATGACCTAGAAAACTGATGTGATGACCACCCAGGGGTGTGGGACCATAGTCAGAGCCTCCTCCCAGTTCTAACACATCTTACCCATGCCCTGGCTCCTAAATTGGCACTTTGGACACAAGCCAAGTGATTAGATTTTCCCCTGGGAAGTCCAGAATCAAAGTTTTTCTTATTAATATGATTGTTTGCTTACACAAATAATCATGAAAATTCAAATACTTTTCGGAAAGCAAGTAATGAAAACATGAAATGAAGCACATGGACCAGGAAAGGTAGGTCTGGGAGGAGCAGGGAGGGTGCCAGGGGCCTGGGCAGCTCTCTCAAATAAGGGGCCTCCCTGTCTCTGAGAACATCTCACCTTCTGGCAAATAGGGCAACTAGAGATAAAGGGGTCCAGGTAAAGCCTGTGCTTGGGCAAGTAGGGCCCTCTGGGGACCAAGGTGTAAGTTATTGCTGGTTTTCAGCCACTCCCTTCCTTGACCTGAGCTTCCACATAGTCTGTGTGAAAGAATCAGTGCTTCTCTTTCTCAGCTTCTCCCTGCACCCAAACCCATCAGCCCTCAGAGCCAAAAAAGGTATGACATCCTTCATCTGCCAAGGATCAAAAGTGTGAGCCAAGGGAGTCCTAGACACCACCTGAGCATCCTGACACAGCAAGTCAACCTGAAGCACCTAGGCAGAAGGGTCTACATGGTTTGCATGTGAAGGCTGGGTTTGGATGAATCCTTGGAGCAGAGGGATATGTGGAATCCAGATACATACAGGAGTATCTACACACACTATGATTTGGTTTTAAAATATAACATATCAGGAACACCTAGAAGAGATGTCAAGTATGGGAGCTGAGCCTCAGTGCCCTCCTAACCATAGGGATAAGACCTTTTTCCCAAGTACATAATGTCCTCTTGATGTACCATCCATCATGGACCTCACTTCTAGAGCAGCAAGTCTAATTCCCTCCCCAAAAGGCCTTCCAGGGCCCTAATCCTTATAGATGTTGGTCTTCCAATATTTTAGCTTATAAAAGCCAAGCCCACCCCTTGCCAACATACATGTTTTAGGTTAAAATCTGAAAATTTTTTATAATTTTAAATAGTTAATTGCTAATGTTATCATTTCTGGAATATTGCGAATTTGACATTTAAAAAAATTGTTACAACAGTTGTAAACATACCCAACAAAATCCCAATACCACAGTGATTATTACTGTCATCCATCTAAAAATTACATTAACAAATTCCTCTTCAACAGGTAAAAATTAGCAATATTCCTTTTTTTCTTGAACTGATATTTCATTCATTTCTGCCATGAAATTTTATCATAATGTAATACATATTATGCTTAAAAGCATTTTACTGATCATTCTATGGTACTTCTTTCCAACAATAAAAATGTGTTCAATCAAAACCTAATTTTTAAAAAATATATTTTTTATATAATCATAGGATATTAAATTTTTTAAAAAATTCTTCTAGATTAAGTCATCATTACAATTATTGTTAGTACACAATTACTCAAAATAACATAAATATATAAACACAATATATCAATAACGTTGATTATTAGCAATATGTCTTGATGAGAACCAACTTTTTTTGGGGGGGCAAGGTGGAGGGGCAGAGGGAGAGAGAGAGAGAGAAACTTAAGCAGCCTCCACACCCAGTGCTATGCCTGATGCAGGGCTCAATCTTACAACCCTGAGATTATGACCTGAACTGAAATCAAGAAATATCAGAAAGGGAGACAGAACATGAGAGACTCCTAACTCTGGGAAACGAACAAGGGGTGGTAGAAAGGGAAGTGGGTGGGGGGGTGGGGGTGACTGGGTGACGGGCACTGAGGGGGGCACTTGATGGGATGAGCACTTGGTGTTATTCTATATGTTGGCAAATTGAACACCAATAAAAAATAAATTAAAAAAAAGAGATGCTTAATCGACTGAGCCACCCATGCACCTTAATGAGACGAAGCTTTTAAAAAAATTATTTCGTATATTTATATATTATTCATATATTTATATATTACTCATAATTAGAATGATCCTATTCAACACTGATCCTATTCTTATTTTGTTTTGTTTTTTAATGTAAGTAATGGGAAGTATGTACATATAAGTAACAAATAGGAACGAAAGGAATTTTATTATAGCAATGTCACACAATTCTTTGAAAACCTTATTTGCCAAAATCATATAATCATCTATCATCAAAAATTATGTTTCACGACTTATTAATCAACAACTTATTTAAGTTCTCCTTCAGTTTTGTTGGAAGTTAAGAAATGGAAACCACCCGAGCTACAAAAGTCCTTAGAGTCCTTCACTGGACACTGAAATATTCCCTTTGTTTGGTGCCCCAGGGGCAGTGTAACTTCCTAAGATTAGGAATGTGTGGGAAGACTGGTGTTCTCATCTTTCTTGAAGAGTAGAAAGGCAAACATACAATGGGATGTAAAGGTCAGTCTGGCCTCCTTTCTGCTACTCACGTGGCTGTCTGCCCTGGTGCTGTTTATTGGACTGGATAAATGCCAAGAGTGACCACAGCTGCTGTCAGGATGTCAGGTGACTACAGTGACAGCACATAATTGAGCTCTGTTGCATTGTGAGGGAGAGAAGATTGGAGTGGGAAGTCTGGGCCCACTCTTACCCCTAACCTTTTTGCTTTCTCTGTCATAATGCAGGTTAGGGGTAAGGTCATATAATCAGCTCTATCACATGTGGTTCAGTTAATCACCAGTGATAGGAAAATAACTAAACACAGCAATAGGATAGAGAGTAACTGGGTGGGTCCAATGAAAGGTGCTATTTTAGGTGAGGTGGTCAGGGAAGGTCCTTCTGAGAAAGTGGCTTAAGTAGAGACCTGAATATAGATAAGGTTACCAATCTTGCAAAGATCTGGGGAGAAGAGTGTGCCAAGAGGAGGGAACTTCTAGATATAAGGGCCCCAAGATCAGAAGCAGACTTAACATGAATAAGGCACAGCAAGGCCAACGTGGCTGAAGCAGAGTGAGCACAGGAGAGAGGGGCTTCAGAGGAGGACAGAGAGGCAAGTAAGGACCCGATCTCTATATATGGAGCTTTGACTTAGTGTGTCATACAAAACCATTGGAGTTTCTTAAACACGGAAGGGATGATCTGTATATTTTATCACTCTTGCTGTTGTGTGAAGAATGGACCCTGGGGACAGGAAGAGAGGATGACAAAAATGGAAGTAGACAGCCCAGTTAGGAGGCCATGGCAATGGACTACATAGAAAATAACAGTATCGGGATCCCTGGGTGGCTCAGCAGTTTAGCGCCTGCCTCTGACCCAGGGCATGATCCTGGAGTCATAGGCTCGAGTCCCGTATCGGGCTCCCTGCATGGAGCCTGCTTCTATCTTTGCCTGTGTCTCTGCCTCTCTCTCTGTGTCTCTCATGAATAAATGAATAAAATCTTTAAAAAAAAAAAGGAATAACAGTATCTTCAACAAGGGTAACAGGTGATGGGGCATGTATTCTGGGCATAGAGACAACAGAACTGGCTGATGGAGTAGATGTAGGAGATGAGGAAGAGAGAGAAATCAAGGGGACTCACAGGTTTGAGAACTGAGTAAGTAAGGTAAATGGGGTTATTTAAAGAAATAGGAGGGCTTCGATGTGGATGGAACTGGAGGGTATTATGCTGAGAGAAATAAGTCAATCAGAAAAGGACAAACATATGGTTTCATTCATTTGGGGAATATAAAAATTAGTGAAAGGGAATAAAGGGAAAGGAGAGCAAATGAGTGAAAATATCAGTGAGGATGACAAAACATGAGAGACACCTAACTCTGGGAAACAAGGGGTAGTGGAAAGGGAGGTAGGCGGGGAGTTGGGGTGACTGGTGAGCACTGAGGAGGGCACTTGGCGGGATGAGCACTGGGTGTTATGCTAAATGTTGGCAAGTTGAACTCCAATAAAAAATTTAAAAAAAAAAATAGGAGGGCAGCCCGAGTGGCTCAGTGGTTTAGCACCGTCTTTGGCCCAGGGCATGATCCTGGAGACCCGGAGATCGAGTCTCACATCGGGCTCCCTGCATGGAGCCTGCTTCTCTCTCTGCCTGTGTCTCTGCGCCTCTCTCTCTCTCTCTCTCTCTCTTTCTCTCTCTCTCTCTCTCTCCCTGTCTCTCATGAATAAATAAATAAAAATCTTTTTAAAAAAAAGAAATTGGGAAGCCTCAGGAAGCGGCAGGTATCCTTTTTGTGAGGGAATAAATCAAAGGTTCTGTTTTAGCCAAGTTATATTTGAGATATTTATTAGCCATGAGAATATAAAGTCCAAATATCCTTTGAGATTCAGATTCAAGAGCAACTGGTATGTAGAAGGCATATGATGCCATCCATGAGTCACCTGACACTACCTAACAAAAGTGAACTGCTAGAAAAGAGAGAATGGTACAACAGCATAGAGGGGTTCAAACCATGAAATAGAGCCATGGAAGGAGACTGAGGAGTAACCAGTGAGGTGAGAGAAAAACCAGGAGAGGAGAGAGGACAACAGGAGAAAGTGGGTAAAGTAGAAGGAGATCCACCAAATCCAACAATACTGAGAGGTCATGTATATGAGGGCTGGCCATTGGATTTGATGAGAAAGAAGTTGTGGATGGCCACAGCAAAAGTGAAGACCAAGCTTGAGGACAAAACCCTTCTCAGAACTGATTCAGGAGAGAATAAA